GGCTCCAGGCTCCGAGCCATCAGCCCAGAGCCTGACGCGGGGCTCGAACTCAGGGACCGCGAGATCGTGACCTGGCTGAAGTCGGACGCTCAACCGACTGCGCCACCCAGGCGCCCCTAAGGCAGGAGTCTTAACAGACTCACCTGACCATACACAGGAGGCAGGCCAGGCCAAGGCTCCTTCAGCCACATTTCAGAGGCTTCCTGAGGGAGCAGGCTCTTCCAGAAGGAAAATTTTCCCCTTCCTGGAAAGGTGATCTTTTCTGTTAGATGTTGGAGGCTCAGCTCAGTGCCTGTTAGAACCTGCAGGCCTACTCTGTACTGGGCAGGGAGAATGCCCTGAGGGCTCACTGAGGAAGTAGTGTGGATAAGGATCCCGGCCAGGGGTTCAGGGCCCGCCTGCTCCCTGTCCTGGGTGTTAGAACCTTCTCCGAGTAACTGTTGTCGGGGAGGCCAGAGACTGTCTAGCTCTCCATACCAGGTTCAGACAGAGCAGGCTCTGCAGAATTCATTGAAATGTTCCCCCACAGCAACTAAAAATTCCAAGGTTTTCTCCAGAAGACACTTGACCTCACTTTATTACATTCCCTCCTTCCCGACTCAAGTCATTTTTTTCAGACATTCACCAGTGCCAAATGCTGGAAGTTTAAGTGCTCCAGGGGGAGGGCAGACCACACTCCGACCTCTTTACCTAGCTTCACCCCCCTCCCTTCCCAACCTTGGGTTAATACTGACACTCTACATCTCAGTGACGTTTGCTTTGACCTTGTCCCCCAAGACAGTTAAACAGCCAAGAAACCTGCATGAGGAATAGCAGAATAAAACCCGTGTTCTTCAACTCGGGGGGGGGGGGGTAGGCAGGCTGGCTACTCAGTGTGGGGTGAAAGTGAATTTTTTTACTGCAAGCTTCCCCCGCCCCAACTTGGAGAATGGGGAGGGAAGCAAGGCAAAGGAGGAGGGAAAGGAAAGGAAGAGGGAGGGCACGGAGAAGAGGGGAAGAAGAGGAGGGGAGGGCAGGGAGACAGGGGAAGAGACAGCAGGGAGGAGGAGCTGCCCCAGAGTGAGGGGAGTAACAGGCTTTCTGGAAGGCGAGCCAATAAATGACTGTTTCTCTCCCGTCTTGAGCAGCTTGGAACTACAAGGGAGATTTCTAGCAAAACTTCAGGTCTTGGTGCAGCTTTCTTGAGAGGGGAATACATGTCAAAGTCTGCAACTGTAAAAATTAATGTCCACTTTTAAATAACCCCTTTCTCCCACCCACCTTCTATTTCTCCTGGGCCAGATAGGGGAAATAATATCAAGCCTATCTTGCCAGCCAGCGGATTTGAGTTGAATTAAGAGTAATGCCAAAGCTGCAACAGGTCAGCTCCCTAGACCTTCCTCCTGCCCTGCCCCACGGGTACAGTGACCTCCAGGAGAGGAGGAGGGTTGGAGCTTGCACACTACAGAGGAGGCCCAATGTCCCACGACCACTGCCTAGTAGGGGAGGATCCATTTCCAGCCATCATAGTCACTTTCAGGCCTCCTACAAATGTTTCACTCTAATCTCGGTCCAGGAACCAGGCACTTACAGATGCCCCTACAACTTGGGACAGACTCTGTCAAGGGCAGGAGCCACCATCAGTTAGTCCACCCAGAAGTTTCCACAAATGTCACCATCTACCCTCAAGAAAAGTGCTCACCCGGCAACTGGAGAGGCAGGGGACAGGTTGGAGTCCTGCTGTTTGTTCTTAAGGATGAACTAACCTTGAACGTGGCTGCTCACCCAAACTCACTGCCTTGACCTGAGCCTGCAGTTCAGGTCCTCCCCGTCTCCTGTCCTCCCATTGGGCACCCTCAGCCTCCAGCCCTTCGGGGTTAAGGGCCCTAATTACACTCAGAAATGAGGTGTGTATGCTCTCCTGAGTGCACACACACTTCCGTTCAGGATAGTGGAGCCCTTCTGGAGAAAAACAGTGATTAAGGATGGGATGCATCATCCCTTAGACTTGGAGGTAAAACGTCATGGTAGAGAGTCTCTCCTCCAAAGAAAAGCATCCTCCACTGTGGAAGGTTCTGCAACTGGGGCGCGGCAAACCCCTCCCGGTAACCACGCAGCCCAGAAGGCCACACTCACTTCTCTGCCATCTACACGTGCACCGAGGCGCAGTACCTTAAATCCCGGTTCCCTTTCTCCTCCCTTCAGCAAGTTCCCAAGCCGCCCCTGCCGAGCTGGCGGGAGCTCAAAGAACGCACAAAACATCTTTCAATCCGAAGACGACGTGCTTCCCTCAACCGCAACAGGTCGTGCCTCCCAGAAGAAAACGAATTTCCCAAAACGCATTTTCTAGATTGTCTAAAAAAACACGCGTTTGAAAGTATGCATGACCTTCCCGGCTCCCCGGAATGATTTTGCTTTAGCATGAGAGAGAGAGAGAGAGAGAGAGAGAGAGAGAGAGAGAGAGAGCCCCGCAGGAAACCCTCCGTCCAGGTGTAGCTGAGCTCCTGGACCGGGAGGAAAGAAGAGGCAGGCGCTTTACCGTGGAGCGGGGCCGAGGCGGCTGGCTGTTCGTTTAAGCACAGGAGCAGGAGGACGGCGGCGGCGTGCAGGCTGCGGGGCATCGCTGGCTGTCGGGGCGCGGCGGGGGCGCAGCCTGGGCTCCCGCTCCGTCCGCTCCCGGGCTCTCCGCGCTGGGAACCGCGTGCGCGAAGCCCCGCCGCCTTGCGAGCACGTCTGCTCTTCGGGCTCCGGGCTCCCCGCGGGCTGCTTTTAAGGAGCGACTCAGCCCCAAACACATGATGTCATCGTGCAGGGCGGGGGGGGGCGGGGGGGAGAACGCCCTGCCTACGGGAGGTCTGGTGCCCGGGGCTGCGAGGTGAGTTGTAGCCTGACTCGAGCCGCGCTCCGCGGGGCAGCGCTGACCCGGGAATCCAGGGCTCGTTGGGAGCAGCGGGCAGGTGTAGGTCGAGAGCCGCCTGCCTCGGCCCCGCCAGGACGGGTGCGGCTGGGGACTGGCTCCACTGGTCACCGCCTTGATCTGTGGCTGCCCTTAAGTGAGAAGCGCCCTGAGTATAATGCCATAAGGACAAGTGCCTCCTTCGGGACGCCCAGTTGCGTGCCTGCCTGGACCGGGCACACATCAGAGACTGGAAAGGACAGCAAAGGGGCTGCACTCCAATTCAGAATTTCCGCAGGTTGTGCAGTGCAGCCTTGCTTTTGAATTTGCACACAAAGAAATTAATTAATTAAGAATAGGTAAATAGGGGAGGCAGTGAACAGCTTTAGGAAGCAATTAGACTTTCCCTAGTAACGTGTTAAGTAGACAAGGCTCATATTCGTGTTCGTAGTACCAATCCGTTCTCTACGAAGCTGGGGGGCGGGGTGTCCCTTCTGTGGGGTAGAAAAAGACTTCGATTATTTATTGAGTACCTTCTATGTGTCAGGCACTGTACTAGGCATTTTGCATCATGCATCAATGTCTGAGTTCTGCTTCCAATGCATATTATCATCACCTGTTGCTCATTTCTGCCCATTTTTCTCACATATCTGTATTCTTTTCTTTTCTTTCTTTCTTTCTTTTTTTTTTTTTTTTTTGAGAGAGAGAATGAGAGAGAAAGCTCAAGCAGAAGAGGGGCAGAGGGAGGAGAGAGAGAGAAGCTTCAGCAGGCTTCATGCCCAGCGCTAGCTGGACATGGGGCTCAGTCTCATGACTGGAGATCATGACCTGAACTGAAATCAAGAGTCCCGTGCTTCACTGACGGAGCCACGCAGGCACCCCTGTATTCTTTTAAGTATGTGTATGCATACATCTAGTCACATACACGTGGTTCTGATTCCCCTTTGTATTTAGTCCATGTTCATTTGTTAAGTCAAAAGTCTTACTAACCTGCTGCCTCGATACATCTTCCTCCTGCTGTTACTGCCACTCGCCGTTCCCACATCCTTGTCGTTTGTTCTTTTGGCTTCCCCGGGCCGTCTCCATGTCTGCACTGCTCCCCGTGCTGGGCTCAATTTCCTTCCTGCTCTGCGACCTTGCCTGTTCTCTTGGCTCCAGCTGCCTATAGACGCTGTACAGACCACATGGCCTACTGAAGGGCACCCACCGGCCCTGGTACACGACCCCTGCTTTTGTGACTTGGCCCATCCTGCCCTCTTCTCTTGGCCACAGCAGCCTGACCAGCCTCCCATCTCTCCGGTCTGTGCTGACTCTCAAGCCTATGTGGACTCTCAGGCTGGCCTCAGTGACCAGTGAAACCACTTGTCCATGCGGGTTTTGGAGGGAAAGAGCAGCTTCTGTGCTGACAGTCACCAGCAAGCACATGCCACCCACATTAGAAGGGGTGCTACTGTTCTGTCCCCAGCAGCTCAGCTACTGTTTGCATTAATCAAGAGCCCTGAAGTCTTTTTAAGGAAGTAGCTACAAAGACAATCTTGTTACCGGCACTTCCAGACCACAGCAGGCTTAAGGATGACCTTTTCTGCCTCCAAATCTTGATAAAGAGCCTTGACTAAGCTCCAGAGCAGCGAGTGAACAGTTCACTTACAGTTCTTAAGACATTCCTGCCTCCGGTTTGTCATCAAGGGCTTTAGAAGATTAAATGTACTTGAAGGACACAAGAGATAGGGAAGAGCTGTTGCAGGTTCAGAGATGCACACACTGAACCTGTGCAGATGAAATCATTCACCCCACGTCTCACAACGACTTAAAGGTACCCTGGGCCATGCACACACATTTCGTTACTCTCAGTTCAGGTGTTTTCCCATTATGTCTGGCTAAACATTAAGGTCAATTTCTCCTTGAACATGCATCTCTAGGTCTCCTCCAAGGATCCTCCGAGATCGAGGTGGACGGGTTTAGAAAAGAGCGGGGATTTAATAGAAGAGTAAGGCAAGATTGTGAAGTGGGTTTGGTGGAGAGAAAGGAGAGGGCTGGGATGTTCACTGCGTGTCTAGAACAGAGATGTGGTTAATTAGTAAAGAATGGATAGCAATCCAAAGAGAATTGAGAATATCAACTAAGACCCAATTGCCCTGCTTTGAGTGATTTTTTTTTTTTTTTTAAGTTTAGGGGATCAGAAAGGGGGAAAAGCAAGCAGGAATGGATGGAGTGACCAAATTTCTAAAGTATTAAAGCTGAACATCAAGCACCCCCTCGCTCCCCAACAAACAGCACAAACCTAACCAGCTTAAGTTCCCAACTCTGGGAGCCTTCCCTGTCAGAGGTTCCCTGAAGCCTGCGTAACTGGACATGCACGGGCTCGCTTTGCCAGCATCAGATGGGGCTGTCATCCGCCAATAAATAATCCATTACTCAATGGGTTAAGGTGGAAAACGGACTTGTGGCACACAAAAGGTGGCAGCTGGCCACCAAACAACATGCCCAGGCAGAAGGCTCCAGGGTGAGGAGCTCCTGTATAATGGCGCCATCTGAATTGATGAGAGGGCGAGGCTGCTGAGTCAAAGGGCAGAGAAGTGTGGGGCAAAGGAGCTCGAGATTTGGTGTCGGGGGGTCTGGGCTGAAGTGCCTGCCCCATCACTACTTACCGAATGGCCTTGACAGTGGTACAACCTCTTGAAACTTCAGTTTCCTCCTCTGTATAGTGCAGGTTGTAATCCTGGTCCCTGGGTGACTAACAGAAATGATATATGGCTGGAATGAGGGTGAGTGGAAACTTTTCTGTTCATTCATTCACCCTCTGTGTGCCAGGCGCTGTGCTAGGCGTTCTCCTTGCTCTTGGAGAGTGTGGAAACGTAAAACAACCTCATAAACAACTATATCAGATTGGAATAAGTGTGATGGAAGGTTGATGTATAACCAGACGGGAACCACTCTGCCTGGGACAATGAGGGAAGACATCATCCATGTAAGCATTAGATTCTGTGACTTCATAAAACCTCTGAAGCACACTGCTAATGCCAATCTCTTCTTTCCCAGAGCTGGCATCGTTTGTCCGTACATAAGCTAATGTGTAGCTATAAGCATTCCAGTATAAAGAGTTTGATTTCCTGGGGCACCTGGGTGGCTCAGTCGGTGAAGCGTCTGACTTCGGCTCAGGTCACGATCTCACAGTTTGTGAGTTCAAGCCCCGCGTCGGACTCTGTGCTGACAGCTCAGAGCCTGGAGCCTGCTTTGGATTCTGTGTCTCCCTCTCTCTCTGCCCTTCCCCCATTTGTACTTTGACTCTCTCTCTCTCTCTCTCTCTCTTTCTCTCTCTCTCTCTAAATAAGTAAACATTAAAACAAAAATTTTTTTAAGGAGAAAAAAAGAATTTTATTTCCTAAGGTATGAACTAACTTTTCACATGGTGTCACTCAGGGTTGCCCAGGTGGCTCAGTCGGTTAGGCATCTGACTCTTGATCTCAGGTCAGGTCTTGATCTCAGGGTCCTTGAGTTCAAGGCCTGTGCTGGGCCCCAGGCTGAGCATGAAGCCTACTTAAAAACAAACAAACAAACAAACACACAAACAAACAGTGTCACTCAGTTGGGAATGACTTGTTTATGGGGCTAACGAGAGGACTAGTGGGCGGAGGACTAACATTTAGTGAGTACCCACTGTTTGGCACTGTGCATGGCACTTTATTCTTACAACAGCTTGTGGGGATAGTGTTAGGATTGCCATTTCACAGATAAGGAATCTGAGGCTTGGCAAGGTTAACTCCTTTCCTTGAACGAGGCTGTTGGGTGGCAGAAACTGAATCCTCAACCAGACGATTCTCTGTCTCCAAGACCCAGGCAGGCTCTTTTCACGGCTCCCCTAACAAATACCTTAGATGGGGATACTTTATATCCTTGTAGGATGAGGATTCTTTCATTTTTTTAGATGCTTTGATCATTTATTTGTGGATTAGGGGCACAATGTGCTAGAATGCCCAGCATGGGCCGTGGCTGTGTCCTCCCTGACCCCCATGGGGTTACTGAGAGCCCCTGCACTCTGATCAATGCTTAGCACATCTGCCAAAATGTGATACGAGGAACCTGAGACCACAGGACTTTGATATGACACGTCTCTCCAGCAAATGAGAATATGAGCCCGACTGCCTAGTTACTTGTTATAGTAATGGACTTGTTATATAATGAACCAAGGAAAGGGAGTATGGAGGAAGGCAGAGGGAAAGGAAGGAAGGAAGGGAGGAAGGGAGGAAGGAAGGGGAGGGAGGAAAGGAAAGGAAGAAGGAAGGAAAAAGCCACAGGCTTTCCTTGGACTGGGTAATAGCTGAGGAGACCTCTGGGCCAAGACTTGCACAGACCCCTTGATCCTGGTGCAAGTGTCTAGGACTTTGAAAACGCAGTCACTTTTGTAGCTTTATTCACATGGGCTTCTTCACTTGTGAAGCTGTGGCTTGGAGTCATAGCCTCTGTGTGAACCCTAGCTACGCTGCTCACTTTCAGGCAGGATCGTCACAGGGTAGAGTGACCCACAGGAAAGAATGCTGGACTCATGGCTTTGCCACGAATGAGCTCTGGGCTTATAGCAGATCTCTTGTCCAGGATAGGCCTCGGTTTTCTGATCTGTAAGTTGAAGTAAGAATGTCTAGCCACACACAGGGTTGAGAGTGTGGGATGAGACCATAGATGTGAAAGTACGTCGGAAAACCAAGTGAAAGTACTCGACAAACACGATATTCCTAAGAGAGGGCGTGAAACAAAAGATATTGTTTTGATCTCGGCCTTGGTTTACCAAAGAAAGTGAAAACTGGATTCCAACAAGGGACCATAAGTTCTCATTCAGCCCC